GCCTTCTCCCAGCTCAGCCTTCTCTCAGCTCAGCCTTCTCCCAGCATGCACCTTCTCCCAGCGCACCTTCTCTCTAGCTCATCCAGTTGTACATGAGGTAGGGACCAGACTCAGTGCCATGTGGACCAGGGCAGCGCATGGGACAAAACCAACACAACGTAACTGGCTGGGTGGGTGAGGAGTCGCTGAATCATAGTGGCACAGAAAAGACGGGCAGGGAGATTTCCTTGCCCACAGCTGTGAGTTGCCATATGAGATCACTAGTTTCCATTTCAGTGGGCTGCTGAAATTCTGCTGTCACTGCAACCTTCCTCTCATTTCTGGAAACTGTTCTCCGGAGTCCTGCTCCTCACCCGAGGCCTCCCGCCCTGCTCTGCTCGAGTTTGTGCTTCCTGCTTTGGCAAACCCACATGTCACAACAGCCCCTGGGTTTCTCAACTCAAGCCAAACATTCAGGACCTACTTGAGGGGCTTGAGGAGGTCACTGAAACCCAGTGTCACCACTAAAAGGAAAGACGCAACTATAAGATTTTGATAGACTGATCCAGGGTCACGACGGGGAAATCTACAAGGTGGGCAGGGCTATAGGAGAAGATATGAGGAGCTGTGATTGTGATTAAGGAGGTTTCTGAGGTAGGAGCAACTCCTCTAGACCGCAAAGGATGAACAACGTGGGGCCCTCCCTGTGGTGCAACAGGTGGAAGTGCAGCACCGTGAGGCTCACAGCAGCTGTCGGGGAGCAACCCACAGGCGCAGCAGACCCAAGCTCCCCGCTGCTCCCCTCAGCAGTGTACTTTAGTTAATCTACCTGTTCCGCTCCCCACTCTCTCTCTGGTGCATCTTCTCACCCCCCCCACACCTCTGGCCTGTACCCCAGCTCTGTGTGCGTAAATAAATAAATCTTAAAAAAAAAAAAGTGAACAACGTGGGTGACGCCATCGCTACTATTATACCCAGTAAAGACACGAGAGCTGCTGTTCATCACGCTACACGCTCAACCCCGCATCTCTGCAGCTTCCCTGTCTCGATACAATGTCCCGCAGGGATCCAGTGAAGTAGAAGCTGTAATTCTCTCTACTTCACAGATAAAGGAACTAAGTGTGGGGTGGCACGCCCGTATCCCCTTTCTTCTCAGTTGCCTCAGCAAGTTAGATCTTGGGGAGCAGAGGGAGAGCAGCTGCAAATGCACAGCCAAGGAGAGAGCAGGGTGTGTTCAGGGAGTGGCCTCGGGTGAGGGTCTTGGGGCCTTGGGGTGCTCCAACGTGGGAAGGGGCCTTGGGGTAGGTTGGGGTGCTGTGTTGGTTGTCTTCAAATTTCTTGGGAGGGAGAGCCTGGAGTCCTTTCCTGGGAGGAAAGGCGGTGATGGAGTCCTGCCTTGGAACCGTTGAATATTCTGCCCGCCCAATAAAGGGCCTCTGTGGTGAGTGGCAGACTCAGGGCAGCTTGATGTCTCTGCGCGGGATTGATATCAAATCTTCTGCCCGCCCCCCCCCAACCCCCCCCATCCCTCTTCTTACAGGCTCAGCCA